CCCCAAAACCCCAAAACCCCAAAACCCCAAAACCCCAGAAAAATAATAATATATTGAACACCATAAATGCTAGTCCTACCCAGAATGTCCCTTAGAGGCATCAAAGGAGGTTACTCGAGATTTTTTAGAGCTCTATCTCAGACTGTCAAGACTTCTCAAAACTCTCCAGAAGAAGTAGCACCTAATTTTCCTCTCAGAGATCTGAACAGGTATAGATATTTTATAATTAATAGGTTTGATGGTTACCATAAAATTAAATCTGATAAGGCATGGCAAAAGGTACCTTCAGCCTCAGAATTATAGAGAATCATCAAACGAGAACAAGATATTTATAAGAACTGGAGACAGCTTCTGCATCCTCAGTTCTCTGCCTGGAAGAGAGATATTTTCAAGAGGACTGAGTCTGCAGTGAACAGCATCCCTGAACAATATGGAGATTATTTCTATTTCTCTGAGAGTCAAAGGTATCAAGGAAGTGAACCCTACACTGTGTTCTACCGCTTGCATGTAAAAACTGGCGAGCGAGAAAAAGTCCTTGATCTTAAGGATATTCCTAATATCACAGACCCATCTTCTGTTATTTTTGATAAGATTAAAATATCTGATGATCATACTAAACTCGCTTTCACAGTAGATCTTGAGAATAATGAGAGATTCAGTACTGGAATTATAGACATCTTCTCATCTAATTTAATCAATTGGGTAGATAATGCGTGCCAAGCTGAGTTTGACTCAACAGGAGATTTCCTATATTATTGAATTGCTGATTCCCTTAACAGACCATATAAAATTATGAAGAGAAACCTCAAATCAAAGTTTTTAAAAGATAAAGTAATTGTTGAAGATCATGATGATACTCATTACCTTGAAATTGGACTTTCAAAAGACAAGAAGTACTTTATCTACACCGATGGTCAAGGGTAAGTTTCAATGCCTGTTAAATAATCAGTATTTTGTCCTCAGCCGATTCATTATCTTTAACATAACTTTCAACTGAAATTATTAGTTCTCTATTTGACCATTATCCAATTTTAATCTAGATCATCGACTGTAATTTCAAGGCAGGAGTCATCAGAAGATGCTCTAATCAGTCTGGCAGAAGGAGCAACAGGGAATCGACTCTTTGTTGACCATATCAGGGTAATATTTGTGAATAAAAATTAGGATTACTTTCTCTTGATAAATTACTCGGCAGATACCCAAGAAGGAGTCAAGATCTATAAGCTCAAAGATGAAGACATGGATAAAGGACCCTCTGCATGGCAGACCTTTATAGAACCCCCACAGGAGCAATCAATTGAGGACTTTGATGCCTTCCATGACTTTATCGCTGTGTATCTCTCGAATGGCATGGAATCTAACTGTGAAATATTAATTTTGGACCTTAACACAAAAGAGATTAATACTATTAATGTTGATGATAGTATTGGAGAGATTACACCTGCAATAAATCAGAATTACAATGAAAGTAGGCTCAGATTTACTTTCACTTCTCCCTTGGTCTACGATGACTTGTACGAGTACGACCACAAAACTAAAGATGTAAGATTACTTCAAAGCAATCAACTGAGAGGGCCTGAAATAGTGAAGAAACGTTTCGTTACGAAGAGGGTTGAGGTCCCTGCTCATGATGGAGAAAGTATTCCAATGACAGTTATACATTCAAGTGATATCAGATTTGATAGAACAAATAAAACTATCATTAATGGATATGGAGCTTATGGACTTAATCTTGACCTTGGCTTTAATATTGGAAATATTACAGCTGCTGAGAAAGGCTGGGTTGTTGCCATGGCTCATGTGAGAGGAGGAAGCGACAAAGGACCTAACTGGCATCTAGATGGGAAGTTAATGAACAAAATGAACAGTATTTATGACTTCTTATCTTGTACTGAGTATTTAATTGCAAAAGGATACACCCATCCTAATCTCCTTGCAGCAAGAGGAGAAAGTGCAGGAGGAATGCTTGTAGCTCATGCTTTGAATCTTAGACCAGAATACTATAGAGCAGCTATTTTAAAAGTTCCATTCTTGGATGTAGTAAACACTCTAAAAGATACTTCTCTTCCATTGACACTGACAGATTACTTAGAATTTGGTAACCCTTTTGAGGATGAAGAGTTATTCAAGCTAATATCGTCCTACTCCCCATATGAGAATCTTAAGAAAGTGGAATACCCAGGGATTTATTTAGATATCTCGATTGATGACCCCCGAGTTCCATCATGGGGCTCCCTAAAGTAAAGACAACTTGTAACTACCCATAGGTACTTAGAAAAACTGAGGGATATATCTTTGACTCCGCTTAGAATCCCAGATTTCGGTAATATTACTCCTAAATTTTAGGCAACAAGAACATTTTCACATCAATTTCCTCAGAACAGGGTCATTTCGGTTCAACTAGTAACACAGAAAATCTTGAGAAGCTAGTCCTAGAGTATGCTTTCCTTGACTTCATGATGTTTGAGAAGGAGATTAAGAGCACCTAATGTGCCGAAGGTATACAAAATCTTCAATTTTGGCTAAAACACCGTCAAATTACATTTCAATTTTTTCGAACGCATTTGGGGTTTTGGGGTTTTGGGGTTTTGGGGTTTTGGGG